TATTAGCTATTATTGCTTTTGATGCTGTTATTATTATGATGACTAAATAAACAGGGTTCAGGACAGAATTTTGGAGGGCACCTATGTTAAGAGGGCAGGAGATGGATAATGATCTGGCAAAGGAAGAGGAGAAGAAGGTAGGCTGGTAGGAAGAGAATCAGGAAAAGGCAGTGTACCAGAAGACAACAGAAGAAAGTATATAGGAAGAAAGGGTGGTTTAACACTGTAAAAAGCTACAGAAAGGTCAGGGAGGAGAACTGAGAAAAATCCATTTAGCAACTAGAAACCATTGATGACCTTTAAGAAATAGGTTTTAGGAAGTGTGTGGGGTGGTGAGGAAATAGAGTTGAATATAAAAAAAAATAAAACATTTCTAGGCTTTTGCTAGTGAACGGCTTAAGATATAGGAAAATGGTTTTAACAAAGCTCAAGTGAAGGTTTCCAACAAAGGAGAACTGAAGCTATTTATAGGCAGCAGAGTTAAAAACTTAATGGGTAGAAACAGAGTGAAGATATGAGAGAAAGGGGATCAAAAATCAATGGTGAGGGAATGGTATTAAGGATTCAGTAATGGCAGCCCTTTACCTGATTCCTTGATGGAGAAATCAGTCAATTAGTCAATAAGTATTTATTAAGTGGCAAGTACTGTGCTAAATTGGGGATACCAAGATGCACATTTTACACCTCACACACATTTCACACTTATGCTTCCTACCTTTATCTGTTAACAAGAGGAAGGAAATGTGCTTCATCATCAGTCTTCCTAAAATCACAATCTGTCATTTCTGCTAACACCTCTATAAGGATCTCTCCTCATTAACAATGACAGTGGAACCAACACATTTGGACTTTACCACCCCAATTTTCAACCTGTTTTTGAGAATAAACGAAAACAGTGCTTAAGAAGTGGAGAAAAGTTTCCGAACCTAACTAAATATTTAAAAAAGACCTATATAGGGAAAATAGGGAAGTTATGAAGAAGAGTGGACTTAGGGGGAAAGATATTGAACTCTGGTCTGGACATGACGAGTGTGATATTCCTATAGAACATCCAAGTGAAGATACATAGCAAGTGGTAATGCAAAACTGGAGCTAAGGAAAGAGATGAGGACTAAATATACAGATTTAGAAGTTATCTATGCAGAGATGATAACCAAAACCACAGGAACTAATGAAATTACCAAGATATTATAAAGAGAGAAAAGAGAGCTCAATATAGAAAATTGGAGTACACCCACACACAGGTGATGGGATGTGGAAGAGGATCCAGTAAAGAAGACTATGAAAGAGCAGTCAGACAGGAAAAAACAAAACCAGGAGAATGCAATATCATGAAATTCCAGGATAGAGTATTTAGGAAGAGAGTGTGGGCAAGGGGAGGGGTTTTTGGGTGGGCAATGTCAAAAGCCAGAAAGTTAAAAAAAAAAAAAAAAGATGAGAACTGAGAAAATTCCATTAGAATTAGCTATTTAGAGAGCCTTACTAACCTTGGGAAAAGCTGTTACCAACAAGTACTAGAGTTACAAGCCAGATTTAAAGGTAGGTAAGAGATAAGAAAGTGAAGATACATCATATTTGAGTATAGATGAGCTCCTTTTTAAAAAAATATTGCTGTCATTCTCCATGTACCACTGCTTTTTGCAAGAGTTTGGTCATTACTGTTAATGCCATCCTCCCAGAAACCCAGCCTTCTCAAAGCTGGTCACACCTGCCTTCACAACATCTCTTGTATATTTCCCCTTATCTCCACTCAAAGAGCCACCACCTGAGGCTCTCATCACTTCTCACCTGGACTAGCACCAACAACCTTCTAACTGGTCTCCCTATGTCAAGTCTCTCTCCACTCAAAGCCATTCTTTATTCAACTGCCAAAGTAATTTTTTTTTCTCAAGTGTAGGTCTGACCAGTCATCCCCCCCCACTCAATAAACTCCAGCTCCCTATTATCTTCATAATCAAATATAAAGTCTTCTGTTCAGCATTTTAAAGGTCTTCACAATTTGGCCCCTTCCTACCTCTCTAGTCTTCCTACACTTTACTCCATATCCTCTACAACACAACTCCACTGGTCTATTTACTCAAACACAACACTTCATCTCCCAATGTTTCTGTCCATGCACTGCCCATTCCCAAAGCCTGAAATGTACTTTCTCACCCCTTGAGTTTCCCTAGTTCCCTTCAAGACTTAGCTGAAATCCCACTTTTCGCAGGAGGCCTTTCTCACTCCCCCGACCCAAGTTGCTATGCCTTCCCTTCTCAGATTTCCTCTCTCTGTCTCTCTATCTCTCTCCCATATATACACACAGACAGATGTATACATAATAGTGAACATACCCAGTTATTTACATGCTGTCTCCCTCATTAGAACATGGACTCCTTGAAGGTAGGAACGGTTTTTGCCTTTCTATCTCCAATATTTAGCATAACACCTGGAACTTAGTAAGTGCTTAATAAACGCTTTTTTACTAAGATAACTGATAACAGCTTGAAAGGATGGCAGGTTCAGGTGATGACTCTTGAAAGGATAAGGGTAATCCTGGACGTATTTATAGGCAACAGATAGGGAATTAAAAGATAAGGAGAGACTGTAAATTAGAGAAGAGGGAATTATCCAAAGGAAAAACTCCTAGAAGAGACGAGAGAATGAGGGATCAAGGGGATAAACTGAGGGCACTGACGTCAAGAAGACTCTTCTTCTTGAGTTCCAATCTGGCCTCTGACACTTACTAGCTGTGTGACCCTGGGCAAGCCACTTAACACTGCCTCAGTTTCCTCATCTGTCAAATGAGCTGGAGAAGGAAATGGCACACCACTTTAGTATCTTTGCCAAGAAAACACCAAATGGGGTCATGAAGAGTCAGACACAACTGAAACAACTGAACAACTTTATTGGTAGTTGAAAAAAATGAAAACAAATCTAAATGCCCAATAATTGGAATATAGCTGAATAAATTGTGGCATATCAATGTAAAACAATATTGTTGTACCATGAAAAATGATAAATGAGAAGAAAACAAAGCAATATGGAACGTTTTATACAAAGTGAGGACATCCGAATTTGGAAAAAAAGAAAAACAAACACACAAACTAAGACTAACAACACATACATACACTCATATATCTCTACACAAATTGTCCAGAGCTATAATTTCATTAGTGTGGGAACTCCCAGTGTAGAAACTGCCTCCAGCCAATACCAAATCTGAAACTCAGTGTAATTTACAATCTTAAAGCAAATCACTAGAGACACAGGGAGATTAAGTGACCTGCCCTAAGCTGGTATATATATAAGAGGCAGGACTTGAATTCATATCTTTCTGACCCCAAGGCTGGCCCTCAATCCATCACTAGATGTCACTTTTCATATTTTATTATCATTACTACCTTAAAAAAAACCTTAAATGTTAATGATATTTAAGATAAAGTGTTTTTTGAAGAGTGTAGTGGTAGAAGAAAGAAAAAGAAAAAGGCAGTAACAGGAAACTTTCACTCAGAGCCCCAAAATGTTGTAACCCACTACAAATGAGATTTGTCAATCTGGGGGGAAGAAATCTCAGGATATTTACAGAACTTACTGTAATACATCGTTCACAGTTCCTTTTAAGTTCACTCTACTAAAACTTTTCACCCTTATATAGATCATTCTGGCTGCTATCTACAAGCCCCTTTGTCACTCTTATTTCCTTACTCAGAGTTCAGCACCAGACTCACCATCTTCCTCTTCTTCCCTAGAGCCTTTGATACTTGTGCTAATGGTGGCTCAAACACTCTAAGCTCCCACCCAGTTCCTCAAGTCCTGTGGGCACTTCTGGTCCTACCAGAGGTTAAACCATTGTCCTATGTTTGTCCTCCATTTCTCAGCCAAACACCCTGAAAAAGTTCTTACTCTTATTTTCTCCACTCCCTCTCATTCACTCCTCAGCCTTTGTAGTCTGGCTTCCAACCCCGTCATTCAACCAGTCAACTGGAACTACTCATTTGTTCTCTCTCTTTCATTCTCCCCCACCCCCAATGATCTCTTAATTGACAAAACCAAAGTTCTCTTCTCAGTAGTCACCCTTCTAGACCTCTTTGCTGCATGTTAACTCTGCTGACCACCACCACTTCCTCCAGAATATTATATCCTCTCTGGATTTTCATGATACTGCTCTCTTTCCTCCTCCCACTTGTAAGCATACACCTTCTTAGTCTGTTCGCTGGTTCATTATCTATCCCTGTCACACTCCCTAACTGTGAGCATTCCCCAGGGCTCTGTCCTAAGCCCCAGTTCTCTTCTCTCTTTACACATCATCACTTGGTAACCTCTTTGGCTCCCAGGGGTTTAATTATCATCTCTATGCAGATCACTCCCAGAGCTACATATCCAGCACCACACTCTTAGACCTTCAGCAGAAAGTAAGGACCTTGAGAGTCTAAGATTGTTCCATTCTTTGTCAATGCTTGGCATTTAGTAGTTGCTTAAACAGTGATTATTGATCAACTGATTGCTAGAATCAAATCTCCCCTGGCCCACTCATTCTAGGTCAAAGCAGATCCATTAAGTTCACCTTAATTAAAACTCTTATGTTGTAGCTGATCTGAAGCCAATGTGACCTCCAGGGTTAGGGAACTCTTATGGGATTTATTACCAAGAACTTGCCAATATTTATTACGTTTGCTTATATTTAATCTTTTAGCATCTTACTTTTCTCCTACGTTGATATTTCCAACATTCAAATCTTCCTCGAAGGATTATTGCTATAATAAACCTAGATAATTATAGAGAAACTTTGTTTTTGGCAAATTCTTTTCTTTACTATCACATTATAAGAACATTATCATGGAACTGCCTTGTCACCTCCTGAATGTCCTATTGGAGTTAATGCCATGTAACCTATATATATAAAATTATAATTAGGTTATGTCTACCTCTTTACCAGTCCTCCTAAAATATAAAGAAGTGTTCATTTTAAGTATTTCATGTCAATGCTATTATACAACACTGTAACAAAAGATACTCACAAGCTCTAGTGGACTGAGACGCATACCAGAAATAGGTCTTGAATCAGATGATTCAAAGCTGGAAGCATGAAGGCTAGCATAAGAAACATTGAAAACACATTAGCTTCTGCATACTTAACTGTTTTATTTCTAGGATATGTTTTACTTTCAGCTAATAAAGGTTAATACATTGTAAACATAATAAAAATATGTGTAAGTATTTAGGATTTAAAATTTTAGAGATAAGGGTAATTTGAAATTGGAAAAAATTAAGAACATTTAATTGAGTTGCTTGCCTTTTCAATGAGAGTAAGTGGGGAGGGAGGAAGGGAGAAAATTTGGAACCCAAAGTTTTAAAAACACATGTTTAAAAAAAATGTTTTCACATGCAACTGGGAAATAAGAAATACAGGAAATGGGTACAGAAATCTATTCTGCCCTACAGGAAAATAGAAGGGGAAGGGGATAAGAGAAGAGGGGAGAGATAGAAGGGAAGGCAGACTAGAAAAAGGGATATTCAGAATGCAAGCCATCTTGGGGTGGGGGGAGGGGCGAGATGGGGTGAAAATTTGGAACTCAAAATCTTGTGAAAGTAAATGTTGAAAACTAAAAATAAACAAATTTATTAATAACAAAAAAATCAAGGGCATTTAACAACAAACTCCTTTTCATAATTTTCAGGTGAGGTAAATAAAGAGTACTGAATAACAAATGTACTAAATAATAAAAAATAATAATGACTCATCTGTAGGATGAAAATTAAAATCTGGAACATTTGATTAAGAACATTTAATGATGAACTCTTTTTTATAATTTTCAGGTGAGACAAAGCACATTGACTGATTAATGAAATTATATGTCTGTAGCATAAAAATAATTTGTGCCATTCTCTATAAATATGACTTATAAACTACCACTACCAGTTTTAAGGCACAGGACTTTCCTAGTCACAAAGCATCACTAAGAAGATGGTAAGAAATTCATCAGCAATAATCAAATTCATAGACACATAATACTCACTAGCTGTGTGACTCTAGGCAAGTCACTTAACCCCAACTGCCTCACCAAAAAAAAAAAAAGAAAAGAAAAAGAAAAGTAATCAAATTCATAAACACCTACCCCTAAATAGAAAAATAGGAAAAAGGCCACTAGGTTTCATGAACTTTTAAAACTACACTGAAACAAAAACGTCAGGTACCTAAAAGAAGAAGGAGGTCTATTATCTGCTGTTCTTGAAGATGCAGGTCCAAAAAGTTTTCTTTGATCTTCACGTGGTGTAAATGGTCTTTCAGTTCTAATTGTCCGTAATGCATTTCGTGCTTCATTGATGATTTCTGCACTCGTCTTTTGCTTGGATAATGAACGTCTATAAAATGGGTCCAGTTTGTCCAACTTTTTATCATGTGAAGACTGCATCTTTCTTTTTTGACGCAAAGTACCCTTCAGGAAACACACCACAAACACTGTAGATAGCAGCACATCAATTATTTGTTAGTAATATACAATTAAAGGATTAGTGAATGTTTAAATAATCTATATAACATTTTACTATACTATACTTTTTTCCTTTTTTTCTTTATCATTTCTTTTTTTTATTGGTAATTTTTTTTTGTTTTCAACATCTACTTCCACAAGATTTTGAGTTCCAAATTTTCACCCCATCTCGCCCCTCCCCCCACCCCAAGATGGCATGCATTCTAAATACCCCTTCCCCTATTCTGCCTTCCCTTCTATCTCTCCCCCCCTTCTCTTATCCTCTTCCCCTTCAATTTTCCTGTAGGGCAGGATGGATTTCTGTACCTCATTTCCTGTATTTCTTATTTCCCAGTTGCATTATACTATACTTTCAAATGCTAAATGTTAATGAATATTTAAAATCATGACAAATATTTCAAGTAAGACATCATTTCAAATGAGTATTTATTACTTTTAAAAACCAAAACCATAACTATCCTATATCCTAGAATGTTACCATGACAAAAGTAGAAAAGAACAGAGACTGTCCCATACCCCCACACTATTTGCATAACAAGCATAGCAGAAACTCTTGGCCCCCTTTCCATAAGACAAGATAAATTAAGATTCAAGTAATACAACTTATAATAGGGACAGAGATGAATATATGTCTAGCTGAATGTATGGGTAATCCATTATTTTATATCAACTACTTTTCTCAACCCCTCCTTGATCCTACTTTCCACTAGATATAAAAAATTAAGATATGACATTAACTCGTCTTAAAGGAAGTAAAGCTAGAAATTACAGTATAATAAGCTACATGAGAAAGAAAAGTAGTTTTTCAGATATATTCTCTTCCTTCCTCTTCATTTTATCATTTATTCATTTTTTGTCATTCACTTGTTTATTTTAATGATTTCTGCTTTTTTGTCATTCATTTATTTGTCATTTTTTTTACTTTGTCATTCATTTATTTTAATGAATTCTGCTTTCCAAATATTGTAAATCCTTTGCTCTTCCAACCTTCAAGGCGACCTGGGTCCTGCTAAGGATGGCTAACTAACATTTCCTTTACACCCCATTACCTGTGTCCTACCTGTATTGCAAATTATAAGAATAATGACTAATATCAACAGAAGGGATAGAAGCTTTTCCCAAAATATGGATTTTTTCAACAAACTTCAGAGCAAAGTTCAGCTGAATAACAGTCTATAATATGCTTAAACTGAAATGTTATAACATATTTAGTTCCAGAAGTCTGTTCCAGAAAATGTGTATCAAATTTCAACAGGCAATTATGAATACTGTTAGAAGACCACTGATAACTCATCTACAGAATAAAAGAGTTGTCCTAGACAATCTCTAAGAGCTCTTTCAGCTCTAATCCACTATGATTTTCATTAGACAGCTCTCTGGCAACAGCTCCTAAAGAATAATGTTTAATATATCAGGTCATGACCATGCAGATTCTTAATATACTTCTACTTTTTTTATCATTGCATAGGTAAGATGCTACAGGCAAGTTTGTTACATACTTTAAAAATTAAATCTCTAAACTTTAAAATTAACCATTAATTTCTAAAATATAGAAAAAGTGCTCATTGCAAAAATTAAACTTTTCCAAACTAAAAAATACACACAACTGGAGAAGTTAGTAAAACCATATAAGATAATCAGCGCTTTTTTTTAACTTAAGAAAAACATTTATAAACAAAAACGAATGGTTTGTGATGCACGTGCATATTACTGTATTCCCTTAGGGAGGTAGATACCAATCAATGGATGGGTGCTCTAAGGCAGCAAAGAGGGACTTTGCACAATATGATTCCAAATACTGAAGCTGTCGACTAAAACATCCAGAACATATGCCTTTCAACTCCAATCAGGTCCCATTTTCTAATTTGTATGTCAGGTGGAAAAAGAATCATATGAAAAATACAATCAAAATGTTGTTCTTTTCATATGCAAAAGATGGGTATCTTGGACATCCATGGTAAGATTTAAGCGTAAACAGGAATAACCATTACAACATCCTTACCAAGTGGTCATCTAATATGTATTTGAAGACCTCCAGCAAAGGGAAATACAATCTTCCAAAGCATCCCACTCGTGCCTAAACATGGCCTCTTGGAATCTCATTCCCCTCAAAACCAAGCTCAAGTATCACCTTCCACGTGTACCATTTGCTGATTCCTCTCTACTAGTACCTCCTCCCTACCCAACAAATTACCTTGCATTTATTTTACATATATTTCTATATTCTTATGTTAATCATTCAATTAACAAGCATTCATTAAGCACCTGCCTTTCCCAGCTATTGTGCTTTGTGACGGAAATACAAAAACAAAAATGTAAACAGTCCATGCCTTCAAAGAGCTTACATTTCATCAGGGGAGATAGCATATACAGTAAGTAAGTACATGCAAAATATGTAGTTACCTCTATCAACACAGGTCAGCTCTTCTCCAAAACTTAATGATCTTAAGAGTTATCTATTATGCTACAAGAAATGATAAGGAGCATAGTTTCAGAAAAATCTGGGAAGACTTATGTGAACTGATACAAAGTGAGCAGAACCAGAACCTTGTACACAGTAACAGTGGTACTATAACAATGATCAGCTGTGAAAGACTTATCAATTCTGATCAAGAAATGATTCAAGACAATTTCAAAAGACTCATGAAAAATGCTATCCACCTTCTGAGAGAGGACTGATAAGGTCTGAGTGCAAACTGAAGCATAATTTTTTCACTTTATTTTTCTTGCTTTTCTTTTTATAACATGGTTAACAGGGAAGTATGTTTTGCATTACTCACATGTATAACTGATATCACATTGCTTGCCTTCTCAATGGGTGGAGGAGGGACAAGTGGAAGAAGAGCATTTGGAATTCGAGATTTTTTAAAATGAATGTTAAAAATGAATAATAAATTTTTAAAAAGAGAGAGGGAGAGTTATCTAGGGCAGTAAAAGGTCAAGTGACTGGCCCTGGGTCAAAAAGCCAGTAAGTGTCAGAGGTAGATCTTAAACCCAGGTCTTCCTGGCTCTGAGGCTAGCTCCCTATCCAATGCATCTCATATTAAAAAAAAAAAAAAAAAAAAAAGATGTAAGGTAAATTTATTTGAGGCGAAGACATTAGCAGCTTTGGAAGAAGGGAGCACTTGGACTTGAAAGGATTCTTGAATCCTTTAAGAAGGATTGTTCCTGGAGGAACAAGGATTGTTTCCTTTCTGTCTTTCAGTCTCCAGCACCTGACAGAGCAATAAATGCTTGCTGGTTGATAGCTAACTTGTTTAAACAAAGTTAGATCTTTTCTGCCAATTGCAGCATATACCTCTAATAAATATCACTGAATGAAATCCAGTCAATTGTGCTAGCCTGTCTGGTTCTTTCGAGACACTAAATCTGTCATCCAACTATTAGGTGTCATTTACAAATTTGAAAAGCATGCCACATACTCCTTCTTTCAAGCCTTTGATAAAACTGTTGAATACCCAAGGCCCAAGAAGACACTCTTTCCCTGAGAAACTCAGTTAGAGATATGTTCCAAGTTAACATCAACCCATCAATAACTCTTTGGGTCCAGTCAGTTTAGATCCCTCCTAACTGTACTTTCATTTGGCTGTTTATTTCCATCTTAGGCAAAAGGACAGCATCAGAGGCTTTGTTAAATGTCTTGGAGAAATTTAACCACCTTCATCCACTTGATCGACTGAACAGTACTCACACAGACAGAAGGATCTATTATAGCTCTTCAAGTAGCCCAATTTTTAAGGAGAGGATAGGTTCAAAAGACTTAGAGCTGTAGGTACTTCCAGAGAGGCCTTCATTTTACAGATGAAGGAACTAAGGCTCAAAAATAAAGTAACATGCCCAAGGTTACATGAGTAGTAAGTATCAGGGATAACATTTGAACTGGGATCTTACATAATTTCAAATTCAATTCAATAAACATTAAGTACCTACTATCTGCCAGTTACACTGCACTAGAAACTGCTTTATAATATGAGTTTGCACAGATCATACATAGATAAGGACATGTACATTAATAGTGACACACAAACAAGAGATTAACCCAAAGTACTGTGAACTTTTAGGATATAAGCTGAAGCACATGACAGAATTGTTTTTGTTCGTGGTACAATGCTTTTTTGGCCTTATACTGAACCTTAAAAAAAAACATTCAAATTGTTCTCTAAGGCCTTGCACATTTCCTGGAAAGTACATCTCCAATATAAAATGACATAATGACTGAAAATTTAAACCTTCCAAAAACTCTCTTGCCAAATGCAGCAAATGCTCTATACTGGGTAACATTAGTCAGAATAGGAAAATATTCCCTATTGGTGTCTGGAAGAAATTCAAAGTGTTAATTTATAATCTCATAAAACCTAGGTTCCAACTGCTTAAAAATTTGTTTCTCCTAATTGTACACACAGATGCTCAGAGCAAAACACTCTTGCTAATGCAGTTCTACAACTTCGTGCTTTTAACAACAAAGAAAAAGCTGAATAGTTCCACAAGTGGCCTGAGTCTATGAAATTCCCTTCTACATGAGGAAGTTATTTCACCTTTCAATTTAAGAGTTAATAAAGTACCATATTCTTTATTTCTATTTGAAATAAATACCTAAAGGCTATAATGACAGTAAGCAACTTTACATTTTTAGAGTGAACAAATCAATTATCCACATACAAAGTAAAAACGCATTACTCATTAAAAATTGTTGATGTATATGAAAAAATACCACCTTAAGGAAATAGAAAAAATAGGGAAGATGTTGCTATTCTGTTCTGAATGGTTTTAATGCATCTGTTTCATAAGTTCTTAGCTTTGTGTTTTCACGCAAGAAAATTCTGATCAAGTATTATGGGGGCCATCAATAATGCTCTATTAAAAAATGGACCAAACTCTCATACAGTTTAAAAAAAAAAAAGTAGTCGACAAGATGGGGCAGCAAAAGCAGGAGGGAAGACTTGCAAAGCAAACAGAACTTTGTCTCACTAGCTTTTACATGATTTTTGTTTAAAAAAAAAATCTACACCAGCAAGGATGAGAGATGTATTGTAACTGGACAAATCACTTACACTCCCTAAACCTCAGTTTCTTCATCTGTAAAATGGAGACAAGAACAGCGATCCCCCAAAACATAGACGTGAGAAACAAATAAGATACTGTACGTACAGTGCTTTGCAAACTTAACCATGCTACATAAATGTGAGTTGTTACGAATTAGTAGAAAGAGTAGTATTACCTCTTGGTGAATTACAGTACCACATGCTAACATCCTGATTTCTTCATCTATTAGTAAAGATTTCTATAAAAGGAGACAGGGGACATGATCTAGATGGAAAGCCTAGTTACAGTCTTTCCCTTCTTCTGCCACAGTTTCCTCCACTCCCTCTGCCTAAGCCTGGAGGTGAGTCAGTGCATCACTTCTGGCCCATGTTCCTCCCACCTCAGTCTCCCCAGGTGTTTGCTCTCTGTCTTCTCCGAGACACGGGGGCGGGGGTGGGTGAAGAGGGGAAGAGACCCTGGGAGACTCCAACCCAGTCCAGCCACAACCCCAGACAGCCTCCATGTAGAGAGAGGGAAAGATGCGAACAAGAAGCCCATGGGGTTGTCCCCAGCACACCAGGACGGCAGGTCTTGCTAAAGTCGCTCAGCGCTTTACACCAACCACAACCTAGGGGCGCCCCCAAGCAGGCGCTCCGCGGTTCTGGGGCTCACAGACCGTGCAAGACTGTGCAAGCAGCAGGCGGCATGCAGCCCTCCTGCCGGCAGCAGCAGCGCGGCCGGCCCTCCGTCTCCATGGTAATCGTACACAAACTGCCTCCTCCCGCCCGCCCCGCCGTCCAGGCCCCGCTTCCCAGTCTCAGGAGCCCGTGGCCCACGGGTACGCGGCAGCGATAGCCCGAGCAAAGGAAGGGACGCCAGGGAGGGGGCTCTAGTCTGAGCAGAAGCACCTGTAGTCAGCGCTGGAAACGTCGGCGACTGAGGCTCAGCTCATTTTCCCAGCTTTTCGGAGGCGGCGGCAGCGCAAGTGAAGGTAGCAGCTGAAACCAGGCACAGGCAGGCCAGGGAAGCCTAGAAACAGCGGAGTTGGGAAGACCTCTAGAGCGCTGCAAGGCAACTGGGCATGCGCGAACCGCCCTGACGCATGTGTGTACGCGGGTTCAGCGGGAGGGGGGAGGCGGGCAGGAGGGAGGTGGGAAGACAAGTGGCGGTGGCTATGGGAACAGCTAGGTAAGCCGTAGGGGTGGGATGAGATGACGTGGGATGGCATGGGGTGGCATGGGGTAGAAGCTTATATTTGTTTGGTATACCTTTTGTATAATCTGTAGACATAGATGATATTGATATATGTTCCTCCCCAGTAGAGTGTAAGCTCCTTGAGGGCAGAGACTGTCTTTTTCCTGTCTTTGTATCCCTGTGTACCTGGGCATATAGTAGGCATTTAATAAATGCTTATTAAATTGAACAGAATTGAATAGTATACTCGTTATAATTTCTTCATCATCATTATTACTGAGTGCCCACTCAGAGATCTCAGTAGCCCAGCTAAAGTTTAGTTAAAACTAACTCAAAGAAAGCTCAGTTATGTTCTTCTGGTTAAAAAAAAAATCGAAAACAAAAATATTCCTCTCGTCATACTTAGATAATTTAGAAACAGTTTTTAGTGTTCAGCATAACTAAAATGATAAATATCACCACTTAATTGAGTGTTAGACCTCACTAACACTAGGCTGGGGGCGAGGCAGATAGAAAGATGTGGAATCACTTTCCAATAACTTAGCTAATTGGAGAAACAAGGCATTAACAAGAGAAGAGTTGATTGACAAGGAATTTCAGTAAAAGTTTAAATCAAAAAGTAATACGTTACTAATTAGCAGATAACTGGTAGGGATATTAATAGCTCACTTAAAGAATGAAAGAAAAACTAAAATATGGCAGAGTAGATGAAGAGTTTTAACCACAAAATCTTCCTAATAAAGAAATTACAAAGTTAACATTGTTCCATTAGGCTAGTCCTTTGGTAACTTGGGTTCTCTATGTGAGTAGGAATCATAGTTATTAGTATAATAAGCCAGTGATAAACTGTTGCCTCTCCTCTTCAACACTAGAAAAATTGATAGATCCTCTTTGGCAGATTTGTGGGAAAACATGGAAAAGACAAACAGACTGAAGAGGTGTGATGACTTTACAGTATCTACTGATGGAGGGAGTACCCACAAGGAAGAGACCCTAGATCACTATATCTAGACTTGGAAAAAATCTTAAGAGTCCACCTTACCTAATGCCTTCATTTTACAGATTAAGCAACTGAGCCCAATAGATGATAAATGACTTGGCACATCAAAACATCAGCAGCAAATCATTTTGGAATGCTGAGAAAAAAGAAACTTAGCTAGCACCCCAAAGGAGCCCATCATTTGTCCCCCAAAAGAATCCTTTAAGTTTGCCATTTTCAGCAACATCTTGAATCCTTAGATTATATCTAGGTTAATGCTCTTTACAAAGCAGGTACTAAAAAGTTATTGATTTAATATTCGGTTTTAAAAGCTTCCCCCCAAAACTGTGTTGCCAAATGAATAGTAGTCTCTGAAAATTTTAAATCTTTAGTGGCAATAGTTATACTGAAATCACTGAGGAATCAAAGTCTTGTATTTATAACCCATTTCTTACATAATAGGAGGAACTTAGGGCCTTCTGTTAGAAAATTCTTTTGTCTTCATCATGTTCTGATGGTAACACTTTTGATATATGCCATGATGTATGTATTACAATTTTATCATAAAAGCCATTGACCTGCTAACGTTAAAACAATAGTTGGTAGAAAGCAACAGGTCTTGGCATATGATCTTTGGTAGATTCAATCATTAACTGCCTATCCCTGTAATCCTGTTTATTTCCTTTAGGGAACTGAGCCCTAAACCCCACACTTAGACCAAGAGTCCTTAAATTATGTCACCTTTATCCAAAGAAACTTGATGGCTTGTGTTTACTAATTTTTTTGTCATGTGACTGTCACAGACCTTCCTTTTGCCATGATTTACAAAGATTTAGCCGCTAGCTAAATGCTTTATTAAGTCACCTTATGTACAGTCACCTGTTCTTGCCACTGAATAGAATGGACACAAACTCCTTTTGCAATGATAGTATTGTTTATTTCATGTAATGTGGATATCCTGTCTTCCCATAAATGGTAAGCTCTTTAAGAAGTGACTTTTTTCTTTAACTCCACAGAGCACACAGTTATGAGCACGTGACATATAACAAATTACTAATTGAACTAAGCTCTTAACATTTGTTAACTAACTTAGGAAAATCTTCACCATACACCCTACTTAATTATCACATGCTGTCAAGTCTTTAGTTTAAAGTGGCCTTGGTTATATCATCATATCCTTCTGCAGTCAACCCCCAAACATGAAAATATTCTCAAATTCCAAGAGTACCAAAAATCAGTCCCAGATTCCTAGGATCCTATTAGGTAAATCCATGCTTACTGGAAAACTTATCTAACCAACTCATTTTGAATGCAAATATCAGGAAAGTTCAAACAAGTGAAAAGCATGAGAAAGGTGGAATGACAGAAAACATTTGAAGAGATTAAATTACTCCATTTATCTCAATGGGTGCACAGTGTGTGGAAATAATTAGGGCGTAATAGCAAAAGGGAATTATGCTGACCTACTATACGTCCTCCTCCATGGTTACCAGAGGACATAACAAACAGAATGCCATCATCTTTATTGTTATGCTCTGTTAGCGGCAACATTTCTGACAGAATTTCTGTGTTATGATTGATATCATGTTTTAGGTCAGACAGGAAGAGAACTAGATTGAAGATTTTTTAACCAAAATTTGACTTGACCTACATTATCAATACTACAATTCTCCAAGACACTGATGCCATTAGATAAAGTTTTGGGTTTTTTGTTTTTTGTTTGTTTTTTTTTGTCAGCTGCCTCACTTGGGAATTATATTTGTGGAGGACCTAAAGATATTAATATTCATTTGAAGGTTCTTTCTTCCACTCTCAGTGTGCAGGCAGGCCAGAACCTATGGGTAGATAGATTGTTTTTAAAAAAAAAAAAAAAAAAAAAAAAAAAAGCACAGGCTTATTAAGTGCAAAAAAAAAAATTCAGCTTATCAGCTCAAAAATAGTCCTCTCAGCTCTCAGTACCCCTAGATTATAGTTTGTACACTCCACATCACATAAATTTAGTGTTCAATAATTATAGCTTACCTTGTTTTATATGTTCTCAAAAAGCTATGTAAAAGTGAATATCTGTATATCATATATTTCCCCATTATCTTTTTTAATAATTTCAGAGAGATGACTCCACAGGGGGGAAAATAGTAATTCTGACAAGGAATTATTTCATAATAACAATTCAAATACTTTAAGATGCATTTGGCTTTTGTTAATATGCAGTCCAGGTGCATCTAATTCTACTAATCATCCCATGTAAGAAATTAGTTTTAAAATAATCAGATCACATTATCTTTGCATACTAATTTTAAAGCATGGAGTATAACCAGTGTGTCGACTGAAGAAGTTCAGATTAGGTTCACTCTTGGATATTTCTTCATAATTAGACAACTATATAGGATCTGTATCTTGGTCCACTCAGAGGGTCTCTGTGTTTTAACTTTGAGAACCTCTGAATCTAGCTAACTGCTGTGTTATTTAAGTCAATTCACCTGCTAGTGACCAAGGCAACCAATTAAGCATTTTGAGCATACATTTTTTTTTTAATCAGGCCCATGAGAATTCTTGTGGAAAAATTCGTGTGGGAAAATCCCAGTGAGGACACCTCTATCATTGAAGACTGACAACCACTCTACTATTGTTAGCCTTAGAGAATCACCTGGGTACTGGAAGGTTAGGGGACCTTCCTAAAGTCCCACAGCCAGTGTGTGTTGGGGCTCCTCAATCTACCACACTACACTTCTTTTCTTAGGCTAATAATAATAGTGGTAGTAATAGTATTAGCAGCTAAATTTATATAGTGCCTACTATGTGCTAAGCCCCTTATAGATACTATCATATTGATCCTCACAACAAGCCTAGAAGAGAAGTGCTATAATAATCCCCATTTTACAGTTGGGGAAACTGAGGCAAACAGAGGTTAAACTACACTAATGTACTCATTTCTAAAACACACAGCCCAGATCAGATTCCAGTAACAAGGGATAAACTTGCAACGCCAATAAGGAAGTCCATACAGTATGGGTAGAGTTAAAACTGTTTCTCTATACCCAGTCTATGTCCATGTCCATTGTTGAGTTGCACAGGCCAGCCAGGGTACCACAATTCTCACAGTCTGCTTTAGCTCAAGCACCTAGCCAACAGCCTTATCTAGCTCTCACCATTTCTGCATCCTTAGCTGTCTCGTCTCTGCTGGCATAGTGTGACTTGCCTTTTTCTCCTATCAGTTTCCATTCTCCCAAGCAGTACCTGCTGATGTTACAGGTTCTTTCCTGTGGAACTTCAGCCCATGGCATTGTAGGAGTCATAACCTTTATTCTCCCTCAACCAACTCTTAAGGGCAGCCAAGTGGCACAGCGGATAGAGGGCCTGGCCTGAAGTCAGGAAGTCTCATCTTTCTGAATTCAAATCTAACCTCAGACACGTACTAGCTATGTGACCCTGGGCAAGTCACTTAACCCTGTTTGCCTCAGTTTCTTCATCTATAAAATGAGTTGGAGAAGGTAATGGCAAACCACTCTCCAGTATCTCTGCCAAGAAGACTCCAAATGGTGTTACAAAGAGTCAGTCGTGACTAAGAGCAACTCCTGAGTCCTGACTCAAGGTTGAAGAAATGATAAAGGAGTGAGAGTTGCCTGCTACATAGGAATATTTTTATATAGAGAACACTCCTTTTTCCCATCATGAATGTTCACTAACCTCAGAAGACTTGATTGTTTAAATTGTACCTCTCAGGCTATTGAACTATTCCAGTTCACAACTGAAAAGGCCACACAAAGATACCTTTTCCAGACAGAATTCAGAGGATAAAATTAGTCCCTGATTTACAGTCTTATTTGAATGATATTACTCAGCTTTTAAACGTGATAGCCTTCATGTTTCCGTTGCCCAAAGTGCACACAGTAGCTGAATGCCCAATAAATGTTTGTTGGTGATCATAATGGTGCA